TTGTTGGGGGTTCTAATCAAGACCGAAGTTTTTACTAGTCGCGAAGCGTCGTGTACAAAGTTCTGTGCGCGTATAAAGGTAGCTTAGGCGCCCACTCAGACTTACGCTTTGTCACGCGTTCTTGCCCACTGAAGCCTTTTTCTTTGTTTGCAAATCACGTGCAAATTATTACCGCAGAGCCAATCGGCGCCAAGACATTGTTTAATAAAAGGCAATCCAGTAAGTAGAAAATTAATTAAGTGTTGACAGACCAAACACGACACAGAAGCCCGAGATAATGATACCTGGACTTCGAGTTTTGCTCGAATAAGAATATCGTTCAGAGATTTTCATTTTTACATGGGATGAAGCGGAGGGTTTTCGCATATGCCTCTTAAAGGTTAGATTTTTAGCTGCCATTTGCTCACAAAGGTGTTGTTAGGCAATGGCAGACCCAACGAACAGAGTCTCCTTCGATCTTCCTAGATAAGTCGGGAAGAGGAGGGAGACTCTGCCTATATACATCCTCGACTATTCATATTGAGCATGCTTCAAACAAACAAAGTTGAAAAAAAAACAAAGTTGACTTCAAAGAGTTTGTGATTGGTGGATTTCGATCCGTTTTTTGTGTTTCAAGGTTCGTTGCTTGTAAGCAGGACCCGTCGTGGGTACTGCCATGTATGGACTATATAGGTATGTGCCGCTGTGAAGGGTATGGTTTTCAAGCAGTTTACTCTAGGATAGGGTATATAAATCAGAACGTTTGGGTCTAGAATAGGGACGGTATCATTTTTTCAGGAAACTGATCAGTTGGTTGAAGATTTTATCTAGACTAGGGATTGTGGTATAAGGTTTTGTTTTGGCTAGACTGTGCTAGTGACCTCAGAAGTTTCCGGAAAACAGCTGCTCTAGGATAGGGGGATTTGGGGAGTTTACTCTAGTATAGGGTAGCAAAATTCAGCTGAACTAGCTCTGGTATAGGTTAAGTGTTCCAGGGTCCCAGCGGCACATCCCCACCTAGAAATTCCTAAAGTGCCCCCCACCGCTCCCCGGGAAGCAGGATTTTAAATCTCGGAGTTTGTGTCTTAATATTGAAAAGGGCAGTAAAAATCTTGAATTTTTAATTCTTTGTTATAAATGTAGGAAAATCAAGTAGCACTCGAAAAGTAAACCAGAAGTGACGAATGCTTGTTGAATACTAAAAGCATCGATTATTTAAATGTAGCTTAGATTCTTTAGTCTCATGATCGTATTTTAAAATAATGTTATGAATGAGCAAACACAAAAGAATAGACAGAGAAATTTTTTTAACAAAATTTTATTCAAAAACCCATTAGTTTATCCTTAAAACACTTCGCGTAACACTAGCACATCGTGGATCAGTTCACGCAATCGGCTGAGCACATGGTTAAATCTAACTGGCAAAATCCATCTCAAATCGGGGTGCATTTTCTAATTTTTCTGAAAAGGACTAGCGCTCCGCTGCAGTTTACTAAACGTTGAATCGATAATCGATAATTTTCTTAAAATCACTTCGTGAAAATCGAAACGGCAGCGAATTGTTTTGTTACAGAGCGTGGGCGCAGGGAAAGTCAGCAATACTCCAGAATAGGCGTGCGTGCACAGATAAAACTGGTTTATCCAGTATGAAACTTGTCTGACTCATCCAAATCGCGGGATGATCGGCAAATCGGAGGAATTTGAAGAGTCGCTTCTTCTTTCCCGACTTATCTAGGAAAGATCGAAGCGACTCTGCTAGTAGGGTACAGCAGGGTGGTACGTGGGTTGTAAAGTCTTTAACGAATTTTCGGAGATATATCAACTAACTTCTGAGATAGGTTCTCGATTTGGATTTCGGGTAGGAGTTTTGAATTAGGATTCGAGTTGGATATTTTGACCTCAACCTCTTCTTGTGCCTAAAGAAATAACTATTAAAGCAGAAGATCACTGAATTTCATGCGCAGAGCATCTATCGCACTTGAATTGTACACAGTATGCGTTTAATAGAGCTGAAGACAATAAAGGACTGTTTACGTAGAAGGAGGAAGATCCTAAAAAAAGCGCAAGGAAGATCCTAGAATGTGGAACAACTTTTCGTTGGTTTTACCGTATGCCGGGACCGTATGCGGAAATTTCCGTCCGTGATTACTCACTCAACAACTTGCCGCCGTTTTAGTCTGGTTTGTCCCTTGTACTAGCATCTCCCTAGCGAAAGCAGTTCACACGGTGTTCAAATAGACTAAATAGGATCTTTCTAGTACTTGGATCTTCCTTCCTCTCAACTATGAAGATTCTAGTACTAGGAAGATCCTATCGCTAGGAACAAGTACAACGTTTTGCATGTAAACCTACTACAGAAAACATATGGTGCTAGGATGTTCCACCTCCTGGAATATCTGGAATCTTCCCGGTGCTAGGATCAGCTACCTCCCCTTATGTAAACAGCCCCTAATAACTCATTGGGACGGCTCCGGAACAGATACCCGCGACTGCCAGGTAAAGGTTTAATACATAATTAAAGAAATGATTTTTGGAAAAGTTACCACTTTTAATCCTCGTATTAAAATGCCCGAGGCCTCTTGATACAGATTTGACTGTGATTCGAATCCTAACTCGAAATTCAACTGGAATCCTGACTCGAAAATTCATCTCGAAACTCCATTCAAAATCCAAGTCGAAATCCTAACTCGGCAAATAGTTATAGCTTAGCTAGTTTGTTGTTTTCTTTTTTTTAAGTGCTAACGAAGTAACATACTGGTTTCTTTTGTCAGGTGGTGGCAGCAGAGTTTCAGTTACTGTAATTGTCGGTGGAGCTTCCGGTGGCTGCATTGGAACCATAATCTTTTTTTGCATTATATGCTATTGCTGTTGTAAATGAAATGCATTGCGTGCAATAGTGACTCATTCGGGTGAATAGCTCCCAAACACAATGATCGTTGACCATAGATCAAGCAAACTTTAATTAACATCTTAACTTTATAAGATCTTATGTAGATTTTCATGCGTGATAAGTAAGGCCCTTGATATGACAATGAATTTCATTCTCATGCAAATAGAGCGGTTTTCACTTGACTGTCGTAAAACCAAAACCAAAGTAAATACACTAGCCAACCAAAGGGCGTAGTAAAACCAAAACCAAAACCAAAACCAATCCCTTTCGACAGTCAAGTGAAAACCGCTTTAGCGTTGGACTAGTATTTGAGTTGTTGTCATTTATTTTCACGTTAGGATAACTGAAAGAGTTGACGTGGACGGAAAATAATGTAATTAGATATTTCCATGTTTTAAGTCAATTTATTAAGGGCTAGCGAGGAAACGATGGAGAGCTCTTCATTAACTCACTAGTTTTTTTTTATTTTTTATCATCGGCAAATTTCTTATGAAGTTTCAACAATTACCTGCGAGGAAGAGAAAAAGCTGCCTTTTTACCTTTACAGTTTTTTTTGTTTCGAGCCAGCTAAGCAACAATAACTTATGAATATACCAGCCGTCAATTTCTGTCACCAGAGTCAAGTACGCGGTTGCAAACAATTCAAACAAAAGAATGCGCTTCCGCATTTATGCGTTTCCTAGTGCCCTCTTTCTCAACGACACTTGGTGAATAAGCTATCAACACAATCCCAAATGCGGCGGCTAAATTGCAACTGCGAAATTCTCTTCTTCATTTAATTCCCGGTATTTCCTATCTACTTGATTTATCCTACCATACGTCTCCCTGTTACTACTTCCTTGTTTTGCCTTCAGGGGTCCGTTTCTAGCATGTTCCGGTAACTTTCGAGCCCGCAGAGCTGTTTTATTTTTGCTATGACGTGTTTGCATTCAAGATCAAAATGTCAATAATTTTGAAAACGATACAATGAAACTCTCAGTTAACGAAGCACAGTGACTGGTTTGTGAGCTAGGAAATGTACTACAGCAGGGGCCCGTTTCTAGCATGTTCCGGTAACTTTCGAGCCCGCAGAGCTGTTTTATGTTTGCTATGACGTGTTTGCATTCAAGGTCAAAATGTCAATAATTTTGAAAACGATACAATGAAACTCTCAGTTAACGAAGCACAGTGACTGGTTTGTGATCCAGGAAATGTACTACAACTCAACAGGTTTCGATTCTAGAATCTGCCTTCGGGCCCACCATTTAACGGATCTTTTGAAAAAAACGTGCGGCCAGGGCCGGAGTAATATTATCTTTTCAAGATGTGGTAAGACAGCATATGTGACCCCCCGGGTAATGCTTCACACAAGCACAGTTATAAGCTATCTTTAAGCGTGCTTTGTAGAAAACCCGCTAAAAAGTCAGATGAAAACAACAGTGCTACGCGTTTTATGTTTGGAACTCAATGACTGTGCACAATCTTTTGTTTTTGTTTACAAATTCTGCCCGAATGAATTGATGAGGTTTCTCAAGATTGGCCACTGATTTACTGGGAAGGGGGGGGGGGGGGGGGGTTGGCGGACAGGGGATCCAAACCTCCCCACTCCCGTTCCTCAAATTCCCTTCTCCCCAGACTTTTTCCTTGGCTTCCTCCCTTGAGTCTAGATTTAGCCCTTGTAGTTTGCGAAATCTTGAGTATTGTTGCGTAATTTGCCGCTATTTCTCCTGCTTCCCCCTATTTCCCACTCTTTTTAGAACTCCCACCTCGCGCCCTTTCCTCTCTCTCCACTCGTACACCTCCCACCCTCTTTTCGCCCGGGCCCCCACCCCCAGTCCTCTTCGACCACCTCATAATAATTGCAGTATATCATTTTTCATTCTTGTCAAGGCTTTTTAGTTCTAAATGTTTTCTTTTTATCATCATCTCTATCTGAGATTAGATTAACCTTTGAGGCAAACCGAAGCATTCCGCCTTAAACTAAGAAGTAAGGAACACATACTGGGATATCCTTGTTGGATTAAATGCCTGCATAAAACGGGGTATGGAATTTTGGTTCAAGTCTTAAATTGGATGGTTGAATACAACACATTCTGAACTGAAATAAGGTGACTACTCCAAGAATTATGTCGATCTCTCCCATCTATTCACCTCTCCCCCAGAAGTTGTTAGAGATTTCCCAATTCCTTTGCTTCGATATCATATTACTTCCTTGTTTGTAATTTCAACTGCCAATGACAGCAACGCTCATATCTGCTTACATAGCAACGTTCATAAATGAACAAAGCCAAACGAACAATCCCGTAATCGACGCCCGAAACGCCCGTTCAGAATGGATTATGCTAAGATGGCCATTTTCATTTTGCTAGCTTTCTCCTGCCTAAGTTATACCGACGGCGGATGTCTTCCACAGGATTGTCAGGTGAGTTCTTGGACCTATTGGAGCTCGTGCTATGGTGAGCGATGCGGTGGACGAGGAGTCCAAAGACGAACAAGATGGAAAGACATCGTCCCAAGCTGTGGAGGATCAGAATGTCCGACTTTGGAGGAAACACGGTCGTGTGGCAGTGAACTCACAAGCTGCCTCAACGGAGGGCGTTTGAATGACGATGGAACATGCTCCTGTGCCAACGGCTATTCTGGACAATGCTGTGAAGTGAAACCTGACGGTATAGTCAGAAAACGTTTTCTTTGCTTACACAGAAATTTTAAATCTATTAATCTCTATTTCAAATTCGTATTCACTCTTTCTCATTCATTTGGAACTGAAACGATAAATACGTTCATAGACTCTCGTAGTTCCCTCGAAAACTCATACTCGATTCCAGACCAAAATGGGCGAAGTCTATATCCGTTTTCAGTCCGAAATGGCGCAGAAACCCTACCCTTTGGGGCAGCACATACCTATATGTATATGATTTATAGAAGAAAGTACCCCCCGTTGGGTTATATAACTTTCGAGGATTCACTGATCTCGTTTTAATCCATTTTCTCCCAGTTCCTACGGCTACAGAGAGCACTATTCGCTAGGCGTTTCTTGCACAAGCATCCTTGCCACAATGCGGTCTCAAAATTGTGAATAATATTTGAATCGAGATTCTTAGTCTTTATTTCAGACTAAAAGAAGCAAAACGATTTGTTGGGGGTTCTAATCAAGACCGAAGTTTTTACTAGTCGCGAAGCGTCGTGTACAAAGTTCTGTGCGCGTATAAAGGTGGCTTAGGCGCCCACTCAGACTTACGCTTTGTCACGCGTTCTTGCCCACTGAATCCTTTTTCTTTGTTTGCAAATCACGTGCAAATTATTACCGCAGAGCCAATCGGCGCCAAGACATTGTTTAATAAAAGGCAATCATAAGTAGAAAATTAATTAAGTGTTGACAGACCAAACACGACACAGAAGCCCGAGATAATGATACCTGGACTTCGAGTTTTGCTCGAATAAGAATATCGTTCAGAGATTTTCATTTTTACATGGGATGAAGCGGAGGGTTTTCGCATATGCCTCTTAAAGGTTAGATTTTTAGCTGCCATTTGCTCACAAAGGTGTTGTTAGGCAATGGCAGACCCTACGAACAGAGTCTCCTTCGATCTTCCTAGATAAGTCGGGAAGAGGAGGGAGACTCTGCCTATATACATCCTCGACTATTCATATTGAGCATGCTTCAAACAAACAAAGTTGAAAAAAAAACAAAGTTGACTTCAAAGAGTTTGTGATTGGTGGATTTCGATCCGTTTTTTGTGTTTCAAGGTTCGTTGCTTGTAAGCAGGACCCGTCGTGGGTACTGCCATGTATGGACTATATAGGTATGTGCCGCTGTGAAGGGTATGGTTTTCAAGCAGTTTACTCTAGGATAGGGTATATAAATCAGAACGTTTGGGTCTAGAATAGGGACGGTATCATTTTTTCAGGAAACTGATCAGTTGGTTGAAGATTTTATCTAGACTAGGGATTGTGGTATAAGGTTTTGTTTTGGCTAGACTGTGCTAGTGACCTCAGAAGTTTCCGGAAAACAGCTGCTCTAGGATAGGGGGATTTGGGGAGTTTACTCTAGTATAGGGTAGCAAAATTCAGCTGAACTAGCTCTGGTATAGGTTAAGTGTTCCAGGGTCCCAGCGGCACATCCCCACCTAGAAATTCCTAAAGTGCCCCCCACCGCTCCCCGGGAAGCAGGATTTTAAATCTCGGAGTTTGTGTCTTAATATTGAAAAGGGCAGTAAAAATCTTGAATTTTTAATTCTTTGTTATAAATGTAGGAAAATCAAGTAGCACTCGAAAAGTAAACCAGAAGTGACGAATGCTTGTTGAATACTAAAAGCATCGATTATTTAAATGTAGCTTAGATTCTTTAGTCTCATGATCGTATTTTAAAATAATGTTATGAATGAGCAAACACAAAAGAATAGACAGAGAAATTTTTTTAACAAAATTTTATTCAAAAACCCATTAGTTTATCCTTAAAACACTTCGCGTAAACTAGCACATCGTGGATCAGTTCACGCAATCGGCTGAGCACATGGTTAAATCTAACTGGCAAAATCCATCTCAAATCGGGGTGCATTTTCTAATTTTTCTGAAAAGGACTAGCGCTCCGCTGCAGTTTACTAAACGTTGAATCGATAATCGATAATTTTCTTAAAATCACTTCGTGAAAATCGAAACGGCGGCGAATTGTTTTGTTACAGAGCGTGGGCGCAGGGAAAGTCAGCAATACTCCAGAATAGGCGTGCGTGCACAGATAAAACTGGTTTATCCAGTATGAAACTTGTCTGACTCATCCAAATCGCGGGATGATCGGCAAATCGGAGGAATTTGAAGAGTCGCTTCTTCTTTCCCGACTTATCTAGGAAAGATCGAAGCGACTCTGCTAGTAGGGTACAGCAGGGTGGTACGTGGGTTGTAAAGTCTTTAACGAATTTTCGGAGATATATCAACTAACTTCTGAGATAGGTTCTCGATTTGGATTTCGGGTAGGAGTTTTGAATTAGGATTCGAGTTGGATATTTTGACCTCAACCTCTTCTTGTGCCTAAAGAAATAACTATTAAAGCAGAAGATCACTGAATTTCATGCGCAGAGCATCTATCGCACTTGAATTGTACACAGTATGCGTTTAATAGAGCTGAAGACAATAAGGGACTGTTTACGTAGAAGGAGGAAGATCCTAAAAAAAGCGCAAGGAAGATCCTAGAATGTGGAACAACTTTTCGTTGGTTTTACCGTATGCCGGGACCGTATGCAGAAATTTCCGTCCGTGATTACTCACTCAACAACTTGCCGCTATTTTAGTCTGGTTTGTCCCTTGTAGTAGGATCTCCCTAGCGAAAGCAGTTCACACGGTGTTCAAATAGACTAAATAGGATCTTTCTAGTACTTGGATCTTCCTTCCTCTAAGCTATGAAGATTCTAGTACTAGGAAGATCCTAGCGCTAGGAACAAGTACAACTTTTTGCATGTAAACCTACTACAGAAAACATATGGTGCTAGGATGTTCCACCTCCTGGAATATCTGGAATCTTCCCGGTGCTAGGATCAGCTACCTCCCCTTATGTAAACAGCCCCTAATAACTCGTTGGGACGACTCCGGAACAGATACCCGCGACTGCCAGGTAAAGGTTTAATACATAATTAAAGAAATGATTTTTGGAAAAGTTACCACTTTTAATCCTCGTATTAAAATGCCCGAGGCCTCTTGATACAGATTTGACTGTGATTCGAATCCTAACTCGAAATTCAACTGGAATCCTGACTCGAAAATTCATCTCGAAACTCCATTCAAAATCCAAGTCGAAATCCTAACTCGGCAAATAGTTATAGCTTAGCTAGTTTGTTGTTTTCTTTTTTTTAAGTGCTAACGAAGTAACATACTGGTTTCTTTTGTCAGGTGGTGGCAGCAGAGTTTCAGTTACTGTAATTGTCGGTGGAGCTTCCGGTGGCTGCATTGGAACCATAATCTTTTTTTGCATTATATGCTATTGCTGTTGTAAATGAAATGCATTGCGTGCAATAGTGACTCATTCGGGTGAATAGCTCCCAAACACAATGATCGTTGACCATAGATCAAGCAAACTTTAATTAACATCTTAACTTTATAAGATCTTATGTAGATTTTCATGCGTGATAAGTAAGGCCCTTGATATGACAATGAATTTTATTCTCATGCAAATATGACTAATTTCCATAACAAAGGTTTTGCACATAGCCTCGTTCTAAAAGTAGGAACTTTTGGAATTCGCGAACGGCCTTTTCGCTCCAAAAACTTGTCCCGCCTTAGATTAGCCATTTCTATTTGCGGGCATGTCAAACTTGTAACTGTTTCTGAAAAGCAATAATTAATCACTGTGTGCTTGAATGTGTGTACGTACAGGAGACGTTAACTTCAAAAGATTGTTTTCCTCTGTAGAACTTAAGTCCTCATCTTTGAATACAGGAGCTAGTTTAACGGCGGCAACATAAATCTTAACTGTCATGAGTATTCAATTTTTCTTCCCTTGGTGATTAGCCTTTGCGAACCTTCCTCCAGGAACATTTTTAGTTCGCAGTATTTTTTAAATATTGCGCCTCCACGTCTCAGCTCTTGGGTTTTAGCTTCAGGGTAGGTAGATGTACTTTTTGGTATTTCTTCTTCTGAGTTTTTTTTTAATTCTTGAGAAAGCTTGCGACATCGTAAAATTCTCGGAAATTTTCTAGAATTCTCAGAAATTTTCAAGGGCTTGTCTAGCAGAATTTCAGACCTTCTTGGGAATTCCCAAGAATTCTCGAGAATAATGTGAATATCAATTTGACAAGGTAATTCAAAGACAATTCTCAAGAATTCTCAGGAATTCTCGGGAATTATAATCCCGCCGACGCTTATGTCAAATACCCATCTTTCTGTAAAACATCGTTAATACAAAAAAGACACAAAAGTAACGCAACGAGTTTGGGGCAAAAAAAATTATTCTTTTAAACTTCAGACAATAAAATAAAACTCAGGGAGGGTGGGGAGGATAAAACAAGCGCGGAGAGACCGCAAATAACAGTAACAGTAACAATATCTTTTTTGTGCTTTACTCTCCATATGGAGTTATTTGTACGTTTACATCGGGATCACGATTATTCATTATTCTTTGCTTTTTTCTCCAAATTATTCATTATTCATTTCAATTTTTTTATATTCGTTATTAATTTTTTAGTTTTTGTATCAAGTTTCCTTTCCGAAATTTTCTACAACGCAATTCTATACATTGGTTATCAAAAGTGTACATTTCAGTATGCACTCAACCTTATCTTTAGCAAGCACCATTCTATTTTTTCTATACATGTGGTCAAAATAATGCTTCCTTTTCGATCATAGACCGTCTTTGCAATTACTAGGACATGAGGGACCAAACAATAGCAGCATAATAACCTTATTAAGTTCTAAAAAATAATAACTAACAAACTATAGCTGAAACGAACACTTTTCATAATCGTTATCGCACGTAATCGATTTGGTTCACAAGTCGGGCAACATAGGCTGCTTGCTTGCACAAGACCTGCTATACTGCACCACCTACCAGGTTACTCACTTAGTCGTATTTCAGGACCTGTCTATTGGCAGTTCCAGGTTTCATTGCAACCTTGACGCTGAGACATTAATTAATTTCCAAATTGTCCAAACATTGTCGAACATTACAATGCAAGATTCTTATATTGCAACTTTTTAGACAATTGCATGTATAACTAAAGTAATAGTTAACAATTATTCCTCGAGCCCGAATGGGCTATTGACTCAGAGGCCATGAGGGCGACAGAAATAATTGTTTTAGCAAAATCTTACTAGTTGGTTAAAAATATCGAGACAAAACAACTTTAGCTAGCAAAACGCGATTCAGCCGCCATTGTTTTGGTTTTCAAAGCCGGCGCTTTTCGCTACTGGTGGGCTTTAACATATAGCCTAGTATAGTAGCTCATTATACCAGTCAGAACACAGCATTGGTAATTCTTGGGTTGCACGTGACATCACCAAAAATCAAACTAAGAAACTATCGATTCTTCTGAGTTTCTACTTTCACGAGGTATTACAGTACCTAAACACCTTTACAGGAACAAATTTTTGGTTCGAAAGGGTTCTTCGTTTTGCGAGAGAGGACGCTTGAATTTCCAAGCTTTCGCGTGACGCGGCATTTAGCTGGCGGCCGGGAAAGCTCTTATGTGGGTTAAAAACGTTACCGATTTTGGGAGATTTTGCAATCTAAACATTCCTTGTCTCAGAATAAATATTACTGTAATCTTTATGAGTTCCTCA